AGTTTTTTGAATAAAGTCACATTTGTAAGAAGTTTCCTCTACAAACTGGACCATGTAACACACCAGCGGCTGGAGTAAGACGCACACGTGGGCCCGGCTGTTTGACTTCAATCTCTCCGCTGCTTTGGCGTCTAGCTTTGCATCTTCAGAACTAGAAGCCTCAGTGAGCAAACTTATTTCTGGGTCAGAAGGCCAGTAAGAAATTCGGTTAACTCCAGCTAAAACATAAAAGTAGAAAAGGTCACTGGTGGATACAAGCTAAAAAGATAGAGGTTTTCTATCTAAATTCAGCCTACCATGACCCCAAAACAAACATCTACACTGTCACAAAATGTGAATGTTGCAAACAAATACCCACAGGCCAAAATGGGTCTACGATTAGGCTATTTTCAGCTGATGGGTTAAATATGGGCTTTACGAGGGAATATTTTATATCATATGAGACTGTGAGAAATGAAAATTCCAGTGTTCATATTTACTCAGACATGTTCATTCATTTACATATGCACTGAGCACCTTTGCAGTGAGGCTGACTACCAACCACATACTGCCTACAAAACCTGAAACAGTTACTATCTGGTTTCTTCAGGAGACCGCTCACCAACCCCTTACAAAGCCCAAGTGGCATTTGTAGAACCCCCAGCTTTGCTATGTGTGGCTGGAAGCTCACCATGAGTGTTATTCACCAAGGTTTTCCATGTTGCCATGGTAGCTTCTGGAAATGTTATAGCTAATACCTAGTAAGGCCTACAGTTTTGTATCTAAATAATTATAAATAATTCATTTAGACACTAAAATTTTTCCTGTCTCAGATTCAGAATTCTTCTCTAAAGCCATATTCTAAAGAGAGAAAAATGTTCATGTTTTAGTGTTTGCATCTTTAAACTAAAAACATTAAAAACAACCCTAGATTACCAAGATGTGACTTTAATCTTGTTTTGTTAACTCGTTTTAAATTAGCATACAAAGCAATGAGCTCCATGATGGTATTTTTTATATCATCTGTTCCTGTTGACTACAAAGAATCTTTAAAAGAAAAATATTCATAAGTGAAGACGGAGTGATGAAAGAGAAGGCAGCTCCAACCTTGCAAAGCCTATGTACTGAGGAAAAAACAAACCTGAGGGCATTTTCCACTCAGTGTGACAGCAGAAAGTAGGCAGTCTTTACTACAGAGAGACACAGCTGGCTCATTAAATAAGAGTTCATATTGATGATAAAGGAAAAAAAAAAAGACCTTAAGGGAAACAAAACACATAAACAGGCAATTTATAAAAGAAACATAACTGGATAATAAACATGAAAAAGTATTTTAATTTTCTTATAATGTTGAATAAAATTGCTATGTAAACACCAAATATTTATTATAAATAGTTAACAACAGAAAAATTCTGCTAGTATATGGTGTACATTTCATTTCATCGAAATTAAAAAAGTTTTATTTACTCATGTTCAATAAGATTTTTATTTTATGTGTTTGTGCATGAGAGTTCTAGTGCCCTCGGAGGTCAGAAGAAGGTGCTGGATTCTCTGGAACTGAAGTTACAGGTAGTTGTGAGCCACTGAACCTGGGTGCTGGGAACCAACCTTGGGTTTCCTACAAGAACAGGAATTGCTCATAACCACTGAACAGTAACAGAAAACCTAACTAAGACATGGGGCAGGCAGGCCAGTTCACTCTGAACTCAGTCCCTCACATGGTCCTTAAGGCAACCCTCATACTATGCTTTGCAGCAATTACTTTATACGCAGCCCTGATTCACACAGAACACTAAGATGAGGTATATTCAGCCCAGGGCTAATGAGACAGATGAGTTTTCTTGTTTCTTATGTGTTCTGCTCCATAACACAAAAAAGGGGTTGTCAGTCTTCCAAAGATCTCCTAGACGCCTTGACAGACCACCACACTCCATCCACCACTACTCCACAAGAATACCTTTCTAACTCAGATGCTGAAGCTTGCCTCATGCCTCCATTACTATATGTGCTGCTGCCCTGACTAGCAATATGAAGACCCCTTGTTCTACATTCAACCCGTGTGGTGGTTGTAATGAGACCTGTTTCCTTTAGGCTCACATATTTGAACCTTTGGCTGTTTGATGACACCATTTCAGGAGGTTATGGAAGCTCTAGGAGGTACAGTCTTGCTGAAGGAACTAACTCACTGGGGTAGGCTTGGGCAGTTTGTAGACTTACTGCACGTACAGTTCTCTCCCAGTTTCCTGCCACCATGCCTGCCTGATGCTATACCTCCTTCACCATCAACAGACTCTAATCCTCTAGAACCACAACCCAAAATAAACTTGCTCATAAGTTGCTTTTGGTTAGGTACTGTACCATAGAAATGGAACAGTGACTAACAGAGCCATGAAGATCCAGCTTGTGCTGCAGCCTTCACAACACAGCATTCTGCAGGGTCACTGACTCTGAGCTCATGCATACCTGTCCCTGGATCACTCATTTCATACCAAGTGACCCAGGAGGGAAAGGTCTGGGAATCATATTTATTGCCTTCTTTGTAGACCTGCCAGGTACATGTGTGTAAGATACATTTTTAAAAGTAATATAATCATCTGCATATTTGTCTACCTATAAAATGGTGTCAGAAGCAATTAGGTGTCTACTCATTAAAATTTCGTATACCCTTCCAAGGTTTACAGTAACCTTTGGGAGTGTGCTGACTTGTTTTTATCAACTTGACATAAACTTATACATATTTGGGAAAAGGGAATCTCAAGAAACTGAGGAACTGCCTCTACCTGATATCTGTGTATGTCTCTGGGTAGTCTGTGAAGCATTTTCTTGATTGATTGGCTTGTGAGGGCCCAGCCCATTGTGGGCAGTGCAACCTCTGGGCCTAGGTTGTATAGAAAAGCAAGCAGAGCAAGCCATGGAGAGCAAGCCAGTGAGCAGCTACTGAATTGAGTCCCTGCCCTGAATTTTCTTCATAATCCATATAAACCCTTTCCTCCCCAAGTTGTTTTTGGTCCTGCTGTTTATCACACCAACAAAAAAGAAACCAGGACAGGGAAGCAGTTGCCCAGCCAGAGCCTACAGCTCCCACAATGGAAACAGAGAATATAGGTGACCTCAAGGTCATGGCTTTTGTTTTGTTCTGTGGTGCTGGGATAAACCAGGGCCTCACCCATCCTACACAAACACTCTACCACCACGACCTCCACTAACCTTTCCCAATCAGGGATTTGTAAGAAGCAGATCTGCCTTCTCTGGATGCTGAGGACACAAGAGAGGCCCCAGGATGACAAGAACAGGGGAAGAATGATGCCTAATCCCACAAACCAACCACTGGACTAGACTGCCTGCTGCTCAGCAGCGCCCAGGTCTGACGTTTGTAGGAGTGATAGGCTGTCTTAAGCCAGTGAAATCTTAGGGATTCTTTGTCAAATTGTATCAGCCTGTAATTTAACAAAGGTCATTTAGCGGACTAGCAGACAGAGCTGAGTCCAGAATTCATGTTTTCAGACTTTGCCCTTCCTAAGTGTCAATGGTCCTCCAACACGAATTTCTACCCCTCAATATGTGTGTATTTAAGGATGTGCTTCCTTCTCCGTGCTCAGATAAAGGAGCTGAGTCCCCAGCACCACCTTGTCTGTACTCACCATTCACTATCATTTTCAAACAAGCAGAACATGGTTTTCTTGAAAAATAAAGATCACAGTTTTTCAGCCTGGACCCATGTTTAATAAGAGCAATTTGTCCAGTATGCAAGTCTTCACTGGAGCAGTGAAGCCCAATGATCTTCATGTTTTTCACCACCACAAGACCAGTTTTCTTCACCTAATTAAGACAAAATATGATATCGTCAGTTATAACATCTTACTATCCTTTTATGGGTAATATTTGATTTTCTAATGAGATGAAAGCTATGTTTAGTTCTTATCTAAACACAGTCTGCATAAAAATAGAAACCTAATTAGGTACAGGAAGACTTTCTGAGAGCTTCATATTGACTTTACATGAGAAACTTTCAAAACAAAGGCTCTTCTAATTAATCAGTTACATGTGTAACTATTATTACGTTGTTCTAGTGAAAGATGAACTCAATTTAACCTAATAAAGGCCAAAAGCCAAGTCTTATGCCATCCAGGCTGGGACTATTTAATTCTAAGCTTCAAAAAGGTAAAGGAAACATAGGAAAATCCCTCTGGGATTTACACATGACTCTGAAGGATTCAGATAATAGAGGCAAAACTAAAGGAGACATCATCTCAATTGTAAAATTACAAGACCTTTTAAAGCCAGAATTGTATTATACAACCAAGGCTGACCTTAACTTGCAATTCTTGGGCTGAAGAAATAGCCCAACTACTAAAGACCTGGCTCACCATCATAAGTTTGATTCCAAATTTGCAATGTGTAAACCTTCCCCTCTTTATTGAAAAGTATTTGAGAACTGTACATCCCTTGAATACAAAGTGTATGTTATTTCCAGCAAGTTTGTTTGCAAACTGTTCATTTTAGAAAGCAGCCAATAAAAATTGCCTTATCAGGGTTGGAGAGATGGCTCAGAGGTTGAGAGCACTGACTACTCTTCCAAAGATCCTGAGTTCAATTTCCAGAAAGTACATGATGGCTCACAACCATCTATAATGAGGTCCAGTGCTCTCTTCTGGCATGCAGGATATATGCAGGCAGAACACTGTACACAATAAATAAATAAATCTTCCAAAAAAATTGTTCCGGGCACTAGAGCCAATGCTGTTAAAACTGAACCACATAGCTATTGGAGTGGCTGCAATCAGCTGAAGGACACAGGCTTTACACTGTCAGCAGAAAGAAATAAACCAGGAACAAATGGATGTCTGTGACATTGTTCCCAAGACACAGGAAGCACATTATCAACCTCTTATTAGAACAATCTTCAGTCCAAGTTTATTACCTTTTTGAGTCCTTTTAAAATAGAATAAAAACAGCTGGACATGGTGGTGCACGCCTTTAATCCCAGCACATGGAGGCAGAGGCAGACAGAACTCTTGAGTTTGAGGCCAGCCTTGAGTTCCAGGATAGCCAGAGATACTTAGGGAAACCTTGTCTAGAAAATCCAAAATCTACCCCCCCCACTGCCCCCAAAAAACTGTTCATTTTGCTTCTAGCTAAGAACAAAATACCAAGTTTGAGATGGAGTTTTTCATAAACATCTAGTTTGAGGAGGAGTTTTTCATCCCAAACTTAAAAACAAAAAGCCCAAGCTGTATTCTGTTTGAGCTGTCTACTCTGCAGCCCCAGACACTGACTTTCTGGTACCCATTCTTCTGCATCCTGGTTTTGTTTTGCTTCACGTACATCTTGGCAAGTTTCTATATAATTTTAGTCACAGATTTTACATTAAAACATGGTAAACAGGATCACCTTTTGCATATGCTTCAGTCAGTATTCTGACCTCGGTGATCTGCTAATTTTTTTTTCTTTTTTATGCTTCTCTTGTGTTGAAAGCATCTAAGCATTTCTAGGCAAATTATTTCAAAATCGCACCAGACAGTGAAGAGACTCACTCCTAGAACTAATCAGGAAACTTATAAAGATAGACATCAAAATAATAACTTTTTCAAAATATACACACATGTTATTCTCTATATATGATGAATGACCATCTCTGGAAACTAAAGGTGAGTGACAAGGAGACACTGGGTAGAATCACAGAGGTCAGGATCTGTCTTTTGGTCTGTCTGCCCATGTTTCATATACAATAGCAGACAAGAAACTCCTGGGTCAGGGACAAAGGATTCAGAAGAGTAAGAAGCACATCTGTGGTGGTCACACCCTCCGGTTTCACAGGGAGTAATGCAGCTGGGACCACACAGTTGCTTGGACCCACCGTGGGATCTGATATTAGGAGAGGAACACCAAGACAGACAGCGTATGTCAAGACAGACAGTGAACCCGTCTGTTGTTTGTCCCCGAGGGAGATATTAATTACCTCAACCCTTAACTCTTGAGAAGTGACTCACATAAAGAGCAGCTAGGCTTTGTACTTTAGTCATAATAACTGAGATACACACATATGTGAAAGACTCCGCAGGGCATTGCTCAACACATCTGTGTGAAATCAGGATTAGACGTTACACTTGAAAATTAAAACAAGTAGAACATTACACAATACTCCCACTTGAATTTTTCAAACAGGAAAGACATATAGGCTTGTCAGTACACAAGGCCTTTATGGAGAAATCTAAGAAACTCCCTTGACCATGGAGGTCTTCACAGGACTTTATCCCATTCCTTTGCTTTCTTATCATGAACTTGTACATCTTTTTTTTTTTTTTCTTTTTTTTTTTTTAAATCTCAATTCACCTGTTTTTTGTCAGTAGACACTCTGGCCAACTCTTCATTATCTCCCAAGGGACCACGGCTTTCCTCTTCAGTTTTCTAATTAAAGTCAGATTAAGAGAAAAAATGATTAATATGATGAATTCCACATTTCAGGATTTAAGAGCTGGATTCCTCCTTGTGAAGCCCTGCAGTGATGTCTCACTTTGCTTGGGTACTATTTGCTCACACTACACCTAAGCTTCCAAATAAGGATTTTATAGGATTGAAAATGTAATTTGGAGGTCATAAAATTGGGACAGTATTAAGCAATGTAAAAATCCAAAGGTTGTGAAGGATTAAGTGGAGTCTAGAAGATGAAGAACTACATATCAAAGGTATTCCATGTGGATTATGGTAGGCAGGAGGATGCTTCCCCAAGATTTCATTGACCCTGCCTCTGCAGCTATGCTGTTTCATAGTTAAAGGGGTAAGACTAATTTTACAAGTGGGCATAAAGCTATGCACCATCAGTCTTGGTATGAAAAAATGTCCTGATGATCCAATGGGCCCAGTGTTACCACAGAAACCACTGTAAGCAAAGGAGGACAGAGGGGACTCATAGTGATATAACATGAGGAAGGATCAACAAGCCATCAAAGGTCTTTGAAGTCAGAAAGGGTGTACAACCCAAACAATGCAGGCAATCTCCAAAGCTAGAAAAGGCAAAGAAATATATTTTCTCTTAGAGCCTCCAGAGGAAATCAGCCCTGCTGGCATTTTGGTTTTAGTTGGTGAAAAGCCTTTTGGATTTCTGACCTTCAGAACAGTATGATAATAGATTTTTGTTTTAGTTATCAATGTTGTGGTGATTTTTATGGTAGTAATAAAAATGAATATAGGGATGTCTTCTCTAAGCTTGAATCAAAATAGAAGTTTTAAATTGGAAGCTAGGGTCTGGAAAGATCCTTCAGTAGTCAAGAACATTGGCTGTTTTTACAGAGGAACTACATTAGATTCCCAGCACCTACCTGGCATCTCACAACTAACTGTAACTTAATTCCAGGGGATCTGATGCCCTTTTCTGGGCTCCACGGCCTCCAGTCACGCATGAGGTTCACAGACATACATGCAGACAAAATACTCATACATATGAAAATACATACATACATACATACATACATACAACAGCAGAGTCTGGCCCTTCAATTAGTTCAATAAGTGCTCAAGACCCTTTGTTAGATGCCAGCCATAGGCCTAGCTAGTTGCTCTGGAAGCAACCCTCACAGACTTTAGGACTATGAACACAGCCAAGTGAGAGATTGAGATGGTGTTATAGAATTCTGTAAGCTCCAAGTAGGTGAAACAGTTAACAAATTGGGGCAAGTTTAAAGTCGGAGTTGCAGTGTTAGTGATTACTGAGCCTACACTTACAAAACAAATGCTGTCTCTTAGAAAGGGAACAACTTCTAAAGAAGAAAACCTCCATCCTGGAAATGAGGTTCTCTTCAAGCAGAGCAGGAAACATAGGTCATGATGGGGCTGACAAATGGTGAGAGCGATTTCAGTAACGGTAATCATAAAAACGAGTTTTAAGAGGTAGCCGATGTCTCCTCACTCCTATAGTTGTAGTGAGGGGTAAGACGAAGGTTTAGTATAGAAGTACTATGAAGACGTTTGACATTTCAAAATTATTTTCTTTCCTACTGATTCATGCTTTCATTGAAGTTTAATGAAAACTTTTGAAAAGGTTTGGAATTATTTTAATCATTATAATTCTATAAAAGAATCATTACTTCCACGGCACAAATGAGAAAAAAATGTGGCAGGAACAAATTAAAAAGTACAACCATGATCACACAGCTAATCCTTGGTAAGCCAGATCACTGTCTTCACCTCAATGTTACACTGCTTCTGTTCTGGAAAAACTCAGAAAGGAAGGCCTTGTGCCACAATCTCCATAACAGGCAGAACTGAGTGAAAGAGGTACTGTGGATGTGGAGAGAAAAACAAGGGATGTCTATCTACTCTTAAACAGTCACATAATTTAGACAGAATTAGACTACAAGCAAAGCATGAACCAGTAGGAAAGAAAACCCTTTGGGAATGTCTTCATTGTACCTGATTTCTACTTCAAAACTCTTCATTAATTGTCCTTATTATAAGTTTCATAGACAATTAATTTTCCAATCATTGACTGGACACTTAAAATTCTGCTTTTATTACTAAACAATGTAAATATCTAATAACACAGAAGAACTCAGACACAGGTCAAATGTAGTAAACATTTTAAATATGAAATCTAGTAAAAGTGAAAATGTAAATGCCCATCAGTGCAATGGTGCAAGGCACTAAAAGTGTTATTAGTTTAACTCATTCATTGCTTATAAGAACTCCATCTAGTAACCTATGAGTGTGCTTAGGGTTTGAAGCACTTGTCTTACAAGTACAAAGCTCTTGGTTCAATTGCCAGGACCTGAAGACAAAACATATTGAATGTACTGGTGTTTTCCATTGCACTAAAATGGAAGCTGACAGAGAAATGTAAAATAGAGTATTCAGAGTTACACAAAGTAGCAAGAGCTTGAAGGAGGATGTGAATTCTGGTAGGTTGGTCATGAACCACTGGCTGCTCCCATCCATATAATGACACCACAGCACGTGGATTTCTTTTATCTAGTCAAGGAAGATCAGAATATCTCAAATAAGTATGAAAGAAAGAAAGAAAGAAAGAAAGAAAGAAAGAAAGAAAGAAAGAAAGAAAGAAAACAAACAGAAAAAAGGATAAAACCACAGAAAATGTCAACAGTCTCTAGGTGGTAGAGTAGTGAGGATTTTTCTTCTGCTCACTTTATAATGAACACGGACTTTAAACAGCTACATGCCAACCTGCATCTTGGAGCTTCTGTGACATACTGTGTGTGGTTTTTGTCAACCTGGTACAACTAGAGACCCCTAGGAAGAGGGAACTTCAATTAAAAAGTTACCGCTATCAGATTAGCCTATGTGTGTGCCTTTAGGATATTTTCTTGATTAGTGATTGGTATGAGAGGGCCCAGTCCACTGTGGGCCGTGCTACCACTAGGTATGCAGTCCTAATTTATATAAGGAGGCTAGAAAAATTGAAAAATTACTTAAGTATATTAACTAGTAAGAGAGGATTCTCCTGAAAGCATATGTAGTATGATTTTTTTAAAGCTGCTGGTTTACTGGATTATCTTCAGTTTCAATAATAATAATAATAATAATAATAAAATAATAATAATAGCAACAACAATAGTAATATTTATACAAAATGATGAAAATGGAGTAAGTCTGCTCTTCCCCAACCCTACCACTGGTTTTGCTTCTCTGCAGCAGCCATGATGCCCAAACTAATAAAACTAATATACACATATGCTTTCCTGACAGTAGATGATAAACAGGTGATAATGATAATCTGTGCATGTTGCAAATTTTATTTTCTGGTACTTAAAACATACATTCCATACAGATAACATTAGAACTGCTAATCAAGCTCTCAAGCTAGCACACACTGCTAGAATAACTTTGAAGGTGGCTTCATACAGTGCCTTGGGTCCCCCCAACCTGACACTATGGCTTCACGGCTACAGCCTTGTGGAACATGGGCATGAAGCACAGCCGGGAAGAAGTGTGGCAGTGACCACCAGCAGGACAGGTCAGGGTATAAACACCACAAGCTTCCCTAGGTCAAGCCTCTTTCTAAGATGGCCAGCTTTCAGAAAACAAGGATTTGTTTTGATGCCTCTTGTAATTATTTCCATGTCTAGTTAGATTTTAATTTTAAAGTCTTAAACTAATAACAGGTATGGGCCAGATTTCTAAACAAGATTTCAAATAAAATATTTAAAACAAAACCAACTTATTTCTCTTAAACAAAATTTCCATGGTATCTGTCAGAGGAAGGAAAGGATGCCAGAAACCTAGGGTGAGGAGGAGCACAGAGACATAAGCAGATCCTTTGCTTAAAAAAAAAAAACCAAAACAAACAACAACAAAAAACAAATGCTTGTTTCTAATGAAGTTTTACAAGTCTAAAACTTCTGTGAAGGCATTTTAATCCGAACGCCTTATCTCAGTTTGCTCTATCAGAATGAGGAAGTTTCATAATAGAAACTTACACATTACACTTCGCTAATGAAAAAAACTTTTGCATCAAAGAAGGATTCAAGTTAAATGTGCATAAACAGAATTATGATGAGATAAAATGAGGACAATAAAGGGTTTTCAAACTTAGTATTACTAGCAAACTGAATTTTACAATGCACATTTTAAGGTGTCAAATGTCTCCAAAAGAAAACCCTTACTACCTGACAATCATGGCACACGCACACACTAGGACTAACTTTTCAGACTGGAAGCATAAGCTCCGACATTGTGAGTTATGAGCATAACATACAAAAGTCATGGAGCTGTTTCTCAAGTCTCAAGGCCTGCTGGATTTGACTGTGAGGACTACAAGTAGGCAATGAAATCAAACTTAGACTACTGGTTTTCCAAGGGTAAACACTATCTATGGAAACAAGGTATACCTGTGATTTTTGCCCTTGGGCTTCTACTCCTGGGAAGAGCTCCATCCAGAGACTGAGCAGAGTGAAAAGGTTCACTTTAGAAAGCCTTGGTATTTGACCTACAAAAGAGAGGGCAAGCACTTCAGAGTTTCACTAGTGAAGGCAGGGAAGCTAAGCACAAAGCTACTAGTGAAATGCAGATGGACTGGCAGGGAGGAGAATAAAAGCTTTATTAGCAAGAGTTGCTGCAACCTCACTTTCAGTGACCTGGGGTGGCATTTTCCAAACGTGTGTTGTTTTTTTTTTTTTTTTTTTCCTTCTCTCTCCAGCTCACCCCATAGGTAAAATAGTAAAACTGATACAAAAGCTCTGGAAAGAATCCAAAAATAAAGTAATAATAATAATAACTGGGATAAGGCCTCCTCTCTGATGTAGTCGTGAAGCAAGGTCCCACCCTATCCCGCTGGAACTAGGCATTGCTAAAAGGGCAATGGTTGGAACATGATTGATCTTCAACCATAAGGCGAAATTTGAGGGAAGCATCACATGCAAAAGCGCAATTTCAGGCTCTTCAGTTCCGGGATACTGATTCTAGGTGCAACCACCAGTGCAAGGCAGGACGCGACCTATGAAGCCTGGACAGCACAGTCCGGGACGGGTGTCTGGCAAGGAGACCAGGGAGCAGCCAGCCTGGCAGGAGTCGCTGTGAGTCACAGGGCAGGCAGGGCGTCAGGGAGGCGCAGTGTGGGTGTCTATGCGGGGAGGGGGGTGGGGGGGTAACAGGCTAGCAGGGCGGGAGGGAGACATAGAGCAGGTAGGGTGCCAGGCTGGTGGGAGACACAGGGCAAGTAGGATGCCGAGCTGGAGGGAGACTAGAGCAGGCAGGCAGGGCGCCAGGCGAGGGGCAGGGCGGGAGAGAAGGACACCACACTCACCCGTCATGCTGCCCGTCTGCGTGCCGACTGACCTCTCGGCCCCGGAGCCCTCCAAACTCTGCATCTGATCCGTTTCTTTCATCCCCAGCCCAAAGGCCTCGGCCCAGGACAGCTCGCCCAGTCAGGCATGATAAGATCCCCGCAGCACCCCTTCAGCCGCCTCTGCGGCTTGTCAACAACCGCTCGTTTTGCGCAGCAAGATGACGTCTCAGCATGCCCCATCACTTCCGGCGCTTAGCGTGACGTCATAGTCCGGCGCACTGAGGTGGTGGTGGTGGTGGTTGAGCTATCAGTCTCCGGCAACTTTGTGTTTCAGGCTGTTTTCAGTGGTTTTTGCAGAAAGAAGGACGCTTGAAGTTTTCTTGGTTCGGGACAGCAGGGGACCAGGGTGGAGGACTTAAACAGAGAAGGTCGAACATAGAACCGAAGTGGGCGAGGTGGGGGAAGCGGGGCCATCGGAACTCAACCTTCAGATGTGGACGGATCCCAGAGTATTTGTTCTTGTAAAGATCAGACAAACTATGAAGAGAGGAGAACTGGGAGGATCAAAGAGAGTAGACAGTGGAACCTGGGAAATCTAAGTTGTGCGTCCTGATGAATTTGTAACTAGTGTGTGTGTGTGTGTTTACGGTACAAAGGGTGTCTTCCTCTATGGCCCTCCAAGACAGGGTCGCTCCTTGGACCTGTAGCTTACTGATAGGCTAGACTGGCCAACAAGCCATGGAGCTCCATCCTCCTGTCGCAGACTTTCCACTCTTGTGATTACAGGCGTGTGCAGCTTTACCCAGACCTGCTTTTTTACTTGGGTCTGAGAGATCCAGAAGGAGCTCCTCAACCTTATATCTAAAGCACTCACACGATGAACCAGCTTAGCCTCCAGTGAATTTTAAAAAGTGCCCCAGGCATGGCTTAAAATGAAGCCTTGAGAGGTCAGAAAGATGGCCCAGCAGTTAAGAGTACGTCCTACTCTTCCAGAGGATCTGAGTTCAGTTCCCAACACCCACATCCAGAGTGGTTCACTACAACCTGTAACTCCAGAGATGGATATTTAAAAAAAAATTGTAAAAATTGTTTTATTTTTATTTAAAATATAATATTCCAAATCCCCTTACTCCCCAAGACCCTGAAGACTTTTAAATTCATGGTTTTTCTTTGATTACTATTGCTTATGTACTTATTATATATGTATAAAATATATACATACATACATCTATACATGTATGTGTCTGTATGTATATGCTTTTAGAACTGATCGTTTGGTGCTGGATAACTAGTTGGGGGGCTTCTCCTTGTGGAAGACCAATTTTTCCTCTTATTATTTACTCTTCATCTAGATGGGGACTCCTGGGAGATTTCACCCATGTTGACATTGTTCAGGTCTTCTTAAGGCAGCCATATTGTTGAGATTTTGTAGGTGGAGCTTTTCTGCAACAACTAGAAGACAATGTTCTGAAAACTTCCTGGTTCTCTGGCTCTTACAGTCTTTACACACACACACACACACACACACACACACACACACACACACACACACCTTCTGAGATGTTTCCTGAATGTTAGGTTTAAGGTTGAATTGTAGATATAGCCTTTGGGACTGGGTACCCAAGATCAGTTGTTCTCTGCATTTTGCCTACTTGTGGCTTTTTGTATTGCCCACCACCTGCTGCAGGGAGAACCTGATGTTGCTGCTGCTTTCCTTCTCCTCCTCCTCCCCCTCCCCCTCCCCCTCCCCTCTGCCTCCTTTCTCCTCTTTCTCTTCCTCCTTTTCTTCTTCTTCTTCCTTCTCCCACTCTTCCTCCTCCTCCTCTTCCTCCTCCTCTTCCCTTTCCTCTTTCTCCTCTTCTCCTCCTCCTATTCCTCTTCCTCCTCCTTCTTCCTCTCTCTCTCTCTCTCTCTCTCTCTCTCTCCCCCCCCCCCCCCTGGTTTTGTTTTTCTTTTTTTTTTTTTTAAAGAAAGGGTCTCACTGTGAAGTCCTGGCTGGCCTAGAACTCACAGTGTAGACCAGATGGAACTCATGGAGATTTCCCCCGTCTCTGCCTCCTAAGCCTTAGAATTAAAAGCATATGCTACCATGCCCATCTCAATAGATAGATAAGATAGATAGATAGATAGATAGATAGATAGATAGATAGATAGATAGATTGATTTACATTGAGGAGAGATTAGAGTTGCATTCACCTGGGAGTATAGGGAATTATACTGGTGTGATAGTGCCAGGAGTTTGCTTGACCTGGAATGGGTTGAATTGGATTACAGAGTTGGATGTAGAAGTAACTTAAAGACTGATGGTCTCAAAGGAAGCTTTAAAGGCTGATGGTCTCTGGCCATCTACCTCTCTATACTAAATGGTTGCTGATAACTTCTAAAAAAAAAAAAGTCTAAAAACTTTCTTGTTCATTCTGAGGGTTAAAAAATATGCTGTCTTGGGCAATCAATACCTGTAGCCTAACAGCAGGGTATCAAGTAAAGGATTAATTGCTAGGACTTTTTTCTCTCTTGCTCAGAAGCCCCGCCTCTTGCGTGTCAGGCAGGAAGGAGGTTTGGAGCAATAAACTTTTATTGAACCAGGAGAAGAGAGTCACACCCAGAAAGAAAAACTTTTGCACAGCAAATATGCATAAACTCACATACATCCATAAACAAAGTTATGCGTGCGTACTCATACAACTTCATGCAAACCAGTTGGTCTAAACTACATACTTATCTCATAATTACATACCTACACACATATATTTATACTTACATATGCATATGGAGAAAAAGATCAAGTACTAGTGCAGAAAGAACTCATTCTGGATGAAAAATGGGCTACAATCTTCATTGCATAGAGAAAGAAACGCTTCTACCCTTTTATTGCTAAACCCAAGTCTGTAAGAAAAATGCCTTGTCCTCTTTAGTAAGACTAAGCCTGCCTTGTGTTAATAAAAGACCTGTTCTGTTCCACAGCAGGAGAAGCCTATCTACTCTTCTTTATAGCCTTTTCTTTGTTCCTCTTTCTGTCTGCATGCTGCATATTGTTCTCTTACTTTTAATTTCTAAGTTAATCTACTCTGATGTCCTCCTAGTCTTGCTCTCTCCTCCTGCTCTGATGTAATAATGTAATGCCATGTAATGTAGTCATTCCTAGTTTTTTGTACCTTTTCCTAGGGGAATAGATCACACAGATTTCCCAAGCATTTTTGTTTTTAAACAAAAGTTCACTAAAAGTTCAAACATAAATTCAAGTCATAAATTGAATAAGAAGTTTACAACAGAAATGTCTACATATGTCCCAATTAAGACTAGACATTCATTTTCTGTCATTAGCTCTATGGGTTCATTGATAGTGAAAATCTAGAATTTTGTGATTAAGTTATTATTGAAGTTTTATATAGATAAACCCAGTCAAAATTTTATCTTCTGTCCTTGTACCTACAATCAATTTCTAGTTCCTTTTTTATGACATTTGGTTAATTGTTTTAGAACTTCTTGGGATGTGTTCTAAGTTGTAAATGCCTGCTTTCTATCTCAGAAGCAATTAACTCATGATACTTGAAGACTGGAAGAGTTCCCATTGCAGTTTTAATATCAGAGAGGACTTTAAAAGCACTCCTATTAAAAAGGGCTTAATAATTACAAGTATAATTTTAGGAAGACTTATAGAATCATCAAGAAATAAGAAATCATCTATTTGTCTATATAGCATCACTACAAGACAGTAGTACATCTTTGCTGTTCTACAGAAATCTGCTCAAAAGGGTGGGCTAATACCTAGTGATTGTTATATATGTTTAATAATAACAGGAAAAGCATATTAATAGCAGGAATCTTTCCTCAAATGTAGTTCCTTTGGCCTTGCCTAGAAGGGTAGATCCATTATGATTTTACAGCCCATGGTGAAACCATCTCAAGAAGCTTACCAGCTAGTTTTTAGCTTCTCATGGATGGCTCCTGGCATGATAGTGTGGTAGTAATTCCCCTTTAAGATCAATGACTACTCCTAGGTGAGGTTGGGTAGATTTCCAGTTTTTCTCTGGGAGCTTTTCAGGTAAGATCCAGTTAGAATTCTCTGGGACCTGTGTCTTCAGCAATAAGATTTATCTTCCTTTTCTGTGAGACCACCAAGGGCAACAGCAGCAACCTCTATTGTTTGTGCAGTGTCCTGACCAACACTTGGGAGGAGATGTCCAGGCTGTCTGCTCCTATCTGTAGACACACACAAACTGGCTATGGATCTTTAGATCACTGGGTTCAGTCTTACAGAGACTCAGATTTCTTGTGGATATGGATAATATTAAAATTTGTTTCATGCTCTTCTATTCTACTGAGAAGACTGGGTTAAAGAGGGAATTTGGCATGCCTGCTCACTCCAGACTCAAGCATGCTTGTTTAAAAGTTTTTTCCAAAGTCTCTGTCTTGGGTCAGATCAGCCACCTGACAAGAACATGAGAGCAAAACAGAACAGCCTAGGAAAAGACACAGTGCTTGAGAACAAGAGAGGCAACCTATTTCCAATAGGGGTGACAAATAGCAAAGTGTAATCACAAAGTAATATTTAACCCTCTGAATACCGCCTCCCCGCTCCATGGTTTTGTTTTCTATCCTTGAAGCTTTTGCTGAAATGTAAATTTTATCTTTCTACACTTTAAAATTAGTAAATTCATTGGGTGTGATTTTTAAAGGATCTGTAAGATCTATAACAGAAAAGCCAGCTCAAAACTTGCAAAAAAATATGAATATGAAAGGGTTCAGATTCTAACATCTATAGATAATTTTAATTGGCTGCAACATGCTGTATGTGTAACTGGGATTTAGCTCTTGTTGAAAAGTGTAGATTTGCCACAGTGTGCTATATGTGCAACCTGGATTCAGCTCTTGTTTGGAAACATAGATTTGCTACTGCATACTATATATGTAACTTGGATTCAACTCTTAGCCTGGGAAATATAGTTTTGAAGAAAAGGACTAAGGGGGAGTGTTCATCTTTGAGTAAAGAGCAACTTGTGGTTTCCTGACACTGTGGCTGATGAACTCATCAAGGTGGAAGCACCCATGTGGCTGGTCACCATCACTAGTAAGGTTATAGGGTAGACATGCCCTGTGACCTCACTGTCATCTTGATATAAAGCATGCTGTAAACCACATGCTACAAACCAACTACTGTGGCACCCATAGAACTCCTAGTCCTACTGAGCCATCCACTTGGTTAGGCAAATGAGGCACCAC